GTCCCCAAGGCGTCGCTGTCTCCCTGTCCCCAGGGTTCCTGTCACCCTGTCCCCAGGGGTCTGTCACCCTGTCCCCAAGGGGTCCCTGTCCCCAGGGGTTCCCTGTCCCCAGGGGTTCCTGTCACCCTGTCCCCAAGGGGTCCCTGTCACCCTGTCCCCAGGGTTCCTGTCACCCTGTCCCCAGGGGTCTGTCACCCTGTCCCCAAGGGGTCCCTGTCCCCAGGGGTTCCCTGTCCCCAGTGGATCATTGTCACCACAGTGTCCCTGTCCCCAAGGGTCACTGTCACTGGTGGGTTCCTGTCCCCAGGGGCTCCCTGTCCCCATCCCTGTTCCCACAGCCAGGTGTCCCCTGAGCCTCCCCTTCCTAGGGTGTACTGGGAGCACTGGGGGGTACTGGGGGGATACTGGGGGATACTGGGAGCACTGGGGGGATACTGGGGGATACTGGGGGTACTGGGAGCACTGGGGGGTACTGGGAGCACTGGGGGGTACTGGGGGGATACTGGGAGCACTGGGGGATACTGGGGGGATACTGGGAGCACTGGGGGGATACTGGGAGCACTGGGGGATACTGGGGGGTACTGGGGGAGTACTGGGAGCACTGGGGGGTACTGGGAGCACTGGGAAGGGACAACAAAGCACCCCACTGCTCCCAGTTGCCCCCCAGCAGCAGGGATGGGATGGACTGGGATGGATGAACTGGGATGGATGAACTGGTTTGAACTGGTTTGAACTGGGATGGACTGTCCCCAGAAGCGGAAGGTCGAGGTGGTGTCACCGGCCACGCCCGTCCCCACCCCCAGCGAGACCTCGCAGGCGTCCGTGTTCCCCCAGGTGAGCCCAGTAACACCAGTATGGCCCAGTATGGACCAGTAACACACCAGTAACACCAGTATGGCCCAGTATGGACCAGTAACACACCAGTAACACCAGTATGGCCCAGTATGGACCAGTAACACACCAGTAACACCAGTATGGCCCAGTATGGACCAGTAACACACCAGTATCACCAGTATAGACCAGCAACACCAGTATCTACCC